CAAACACCACATGCATGGCAATTAACCCATTTTTGCCCACTATTTAAATGGACTTTTGTTGAAGTTAACAATATTGGTATTATATAGATATATAGCATATCATTGATGCAGTCTTTCAGAACACAAAATAAAATACTGCAAATGAAGAATATTTGTAATGTTTTGCACAGATGCCTTAACTTAAATTTGAAAACACGTGGCAACTTTATTAATACAGCAGATGAAAAGATTTGTGGAAGGATACATTCTTCATGGGCTTCAATGGCTCTCTAGATAAAGGGTGTTTTATGGTTGCTTGTATAATCCTCAGATCGTGGTTTTTTTAAATAACTAGTGACATTTTAATAAATATTGCAAAAAAGGGCTACAAAAAAGGCATATATATATATAACCTGGCCGGCTTAGCCAGTGTGTCTTTTTTCAAGCACCACAAGATTCATAGTTTATAAAGTACAATTCTGGGCCATTGATTGTGTCATTTCTCCAAACACATACAGTAAAAATGCCTGTTTTGAATACTTAAAATGGTGCAGGAAAAGGACTTTACATTGGGTTATATTTAAAGACAGGACTATTTAGTTAAGAGAAGAGAAAAAAAGGAAAGAAAATTGTTATAATGGGTGATGACATGACATTGACATGACATTAATGACAGACATAATATGAGGTCCTTGGCAGTTGGCACTCAGACTTCAGAGGGGTCAGTTTGTCATCATCACCCTTACAGCATCAGGACAATATCATATGGAGTCAGACACTGGAAGTGTGCTGGCGGCGTTGACTGGGACTGATGGAAGGATGAGGCTGATGAGACTGAAGAATCTGCGAGGAACGAACTAGCGGCAGAGAAATAATTATATATTAAAAGACAGCAGCATCTGAAGGATATTTAGTGTGAATGCTGTTTACAGCATTCCACTATAGTACTTCAATTCTTTATTAGTGCGAATACATTATTAACTACATTATCTCATTTAGCTGTAGCTTTTATAAACAACAAAATACGTGTTGACCAGTCGTTGAACCAGGGACCCTGCGGTCATGAGTCAACTGCTTTCCAGCAGAGCCACAGCACACACACTAAAGCTCCCTGAAAACACTGGAACATATTTATTCCTGTATTTATTCTTTTACAGCATTCCACTATAGTACTTCAAACCCTAAAGGCCACGCCCTTGATACATCTGCCTATACCGTTATAGAATATCACCAGTTGTTCGGCCCACATCTTATTCGGTAATACCAGCACAACAAACACAGCCGAGTTCAAGTTATGTTCCCCGGATGAGCTGAGCAGGCTGAGTCCTTGTAGCTAGTGATATTACGTATTGCGCCGAGGCTTTGGAGCGTGTGTCGAGTAATCCCGAAACTTTTTGTGAAGCATGTATCGAGGCTTGTATCGTTTTGTGCCTATGACGTCATCGATGACAAAGAAAGCCTCGCTGCCTGTCGATACCACGTGACTGCTTCACGAAGCGATTCAGATCGGTTGAACCGTTGAACCACAACGCTCATACCCATGGATGTATAATAAGAACCATATTACCCCTCCTGTACCCGGGCCCGGTGACACGATGGAATCAAGAGAGCTCAGACCCTCACTCATATAGAGGTCGGAACATGTCATAAGTATAAATGGATACAAGCATAAATAAATGTAGGAATAAAAACATGAATAAATAAATGAATAAATACAGGAATAAATATGTTCCAGTGTTTTCAGGGAGCTTTAGTGTGTGGCTCAGCTGGAAAGCAGTTGACTCCTGACTGCAGGGTCCCTGGTTCAACGACTGGTCAACACATATATTGTTACAGCTAAATTAGATAATGTAGTTAATAATGTATTCTTTGATAGGGTTTAGCCTTTCTCAGGCTACAACATGGTTACGTTTACGAATATTATTAAGGAATACAAATCCCTCTTTGCAATGTTTACTAGCCTCCTTAGGCTTTTCAATCACAATCATTAAACTGGAATAAAACAATATTGTTAACATGAAAATATGATTTAATGTTTGTTGTTTAGAGTTATTCAAAGGCTTTACTCATTGGGAACTCGGTATGAGATAGAGCGTGAAGATGTCACGATTTCGTCCCTTAAAACGTGACAGTTACACGGTATTGTTAACCCATGTTAACCAGTGGAGAAATAACCGAAAATGCAAAGCAAATGCTACCCCGACGGTCGGTTGTTATTGTCAATATTAATATAATAATGATTTATTTTTTAACACTCGATTACGCCAGTTTTGTTGTTGCCCCAGCTGGTCGACACCTCTTTTAGCAGAAACAAAGGCTACATTAATGTATTAAATCGATGTTAATGCGTGTGGATGTGGAATTAACGGACGTGACGTGGTGCGATTGCGTTGCCAGGCAACAGCTTCGGTTCATGTTAATTTACAAACTCTTCAACTACAACCGTAGTTATATTTAAAAACATGTTAGAAGGCCTCACGAAATACTTTAATGCAAATAAAATGTAAATGTGAAGGAATGTGTGTATAACAAAATACATCCGTCATAAACGAAACCGGAAACAGACGTAGGCAAGATCCTCAGCTCAATGATTGGATGGTTTAGCTGCAATGCATGCTGGGGTTTGGTGTTTATGTGATGTGAAATCCGAAAACATTTAAAAAAAAAAAAATAATACTTTATTCCGAGTGTGCTTGCTTTTCTCTTTGAAAGTCATCACATAACGGCATTGTAATACACGGTTCGGCTGCATTAAATATTACATATCTGCCGTAGTTCTTTATTTATAGAGCCCTGATTAGAAGACTTCTAGACAAACATAGTTAATACACTGCCTCCGACTCCCTTTCATCGGCACTACACTGGTGACCCTGACGTTTTCGAGAAACGAAGACTCAATGAACATGGAAGACTCAATGAACATGGCTGATCGCGATGTTTTTGTAAAGCTGCCGGAGTTTTGGGAGCATGCCGCCGCGGCATGGTTCGCACACGTGGAGGCACACTTTGCCTGCCGACAAGTCCGTGACGGGGATTTGAAATATTTCCACGTGGTAGCAGCGATGGGAAGCTCTGTATGTTCTGTAAGCTCTGGACATTTTTGTCCCGAATGACTAATGTGTGAGTTTTTTTGTTTAATCTGATTTTGTGCAAAAACTAATAATGCAAACAAATCAATTTTGTTGCTAATCTTTGACATATCCAAGACTGTGATAAAAAAAAAGAGCCAGTCCCCAGATATGTATTTTATGGAAAATAACTAATTTTCTCTGTTTTCATCATGAAAAGAAACAGCGGTTTCATGTATTCAAAATGGCATCTAAAGGGTTACAATCCTGAAAATGATTACATTCTTGGTATTTTCTATTAGGGCGGAAGTTGCTTTAAAGATTGAACCCAAAAATGTTGTGAAAAAAACCTTTTAATATATTGTTTTTATCAAAGTCTTTTGCAGTGGACATTTTTGTCTCGAATGGTCAATAAGCGTAGTCGATTTGTTACATAGTGAATTAAAGACCGATTTGAAGAATTGAAATTGGAATTCCAAAATAGATCAAGAAAATAGCCGTGTTACAAAAAATCAGGCCATTCGCACCAACACAACCAAAGTTACTGTATTGCAAAATGAAAAGTGAAAAATGACCCATATGGACAAAAACGTCCAGAGTGATACCGGAGGGCTAGGCAAGGAAACATTTGATAGAAGTCAAATGACAACAACAACCTTTACTTCAGGATGTCTTCTGAGGGGTAAGTCGATCTAGTCAAGGGGTACATTTAAGAAACTGTCTAGTTAAAGGTGGGGTAGGTAATTTTGGAGAAACCAGCTCGAGTGCGCGAGAATTTGAAAATACACAGCCGGAAGAAATCTGCCACTTCCTTACAGAGCCCCTCCTCCAACACACACGAACGCGCACATGACCAATGAGGGCACGAGATAAGTTTGTGCACAGATGGAAGGCTGACAGGCAGGTAGGGCATCCAGTTACTTTAGCCGGGCCGGCTCAGATGATTGGTCGTGCTTTTTACAGCACGGCTTCCACAGATGAATTTTTTTAATGTATTTTTTGTCAAAGCACTTCAGATATTCATTGCTATCGGGATGTTAAGAGCATTCCATGGAATATAACAACAAGTGTATCTCGAGCCGGTTTCTAAAACTTACCTACCCCACCTTTAAGTCCTTCATGCTAATCTTTAGCTAAATGATTCAGACTGTTTTACACCTTGGTAAATAACTAGGCGGCTGTGGCTCAGTGGATAGAGTGCTGGACTTCGAATCAGGGGGTAGCAAGTTCGAGTCCCACTGCAGTGAGCATGTCGTTGTGTCTCTGTGCAAGACACTTCACCCCGAATTGTTCCTGTGGGGATTGTCCACAGTACTGAATCGCTTTGGAAAAAAGCGTCTAACAAATTACATGTAATGTAACCAACATGTATGATACATATTTTCAGAGCTGGATACTCTGACATAACATTATACCTGACATGTTGAAAATGTACTTTGACGAGCAAAACATGGTTCATTGGGAAAAAAACTGATTTACCATGTGCTTCTGACCATCACAGCAACATAGTAATGATGGGTGCTTCCTAAATGTATGGTCACATGACAGCAAATGTGCACAGTTCCCTGGATAAAGGGGGTGGGTCAACTTACTCACTGGCTCATCTTACCCCACTCTCCCCTACCCTAATACTAATACTAAAGCTGCTGTGGTGTTTTAACTCCTGGGAATGACTTGGCTGACGCGCTTAACTGTGTTGATACTATACCGTTTGTTGTTGTTTCAATAATGACTTGGTAGACTTGATATCAGGAACAGAATAATACATTATATGTATTGTATTGCATTGTGAATGTAAAGTCCATTCCTATTCAATAACAAACAATCTTTGTGGTACACATGTACTCGTGCTGCAGCGATCAAAAACCATTTTCCCAAAGGATTGCTGTGAAAGTGTCACTAGGTCTGCTGTATGTAGCACTTTCACAACCTTACCCTCTTTCTGTGATGCAGGTGCTCAAGGGATGCAAGAAACTGGCCATTACAGTGTGTTCCATGGGTCGGATCCCTGGGGGCTACATCACCAACCATGTGTACAGCTGGGTGGACCCTGAGGGCCGGAGCATGTCCCCGCCCCCCGACAGCCACGAGGCCAACCAGAGGCCAAGACAGGGCATGGAAGAGAGGATGGTAAGAACAATGTGGGCATGTGTGTGATGCTGGTACGAGAGAGGAAGCATCGAAGACACTTGTATTGGTGTGAGGCATTGGCAATTTAAAATGAATTAAAAAAAACACTAGAGTATGTCACTGAATAAACTGTGTCCAGCTAAATTGACTTGCTCTATATAAGTGTTTTGAGTGTTTTTTTTATTATAACAAGGTTAAAATATTACCTTAATGCTTACTTGCTGTGAATTGTTATTTAATATTAAAATAGTAATCGTTAAGCACACAGGAATTACAAACCCCCCGTGGTGTACAACGTCAATTAAAACAAAATACAATAAATGCAAATCCTTTTCGATCCATATTCAATTGAATACACTACAAAGACAAGTTATGTAATGTTCCATCTGATAAACTTTATGTTTTTTTGCAAATATTCAATTATTTTGAATGTGATGCCTGCAACACATTCCAGAAAAGCTGGGACAGGGTCATGTTTACCACTGTGTTACATCACCTTCCCTCCAACAACACTTTCAATGGAGACAGGTCTGGAGTGCAGGCAGGCCGGTCTGGTACCCCCACTCTTTCTCTTGGCATTGTCTTGCTGAAATAAGCAGGGATGTCCCTGAAAACGTTTATGTACCTTTCAGCATTAATGGTGCCTTCACAGATGTACAAGTTGCCATGGGCACTAACACCTAGGGATGGGTACTGAGCCCGGTATTAAACGGGCCCCGGGGCTGAATTATTAAAGACCGTGGTACCGTTAAGCTCCGACGTTATCGGTCTTTTTATCGGTACTGGCGACATGTACAAAATATACGTCATATGTATTATTGCTACATAAACATCATATTGCAGTTTTAGTTTCGCCAACTCCGTTTCTAATACGCAAAAAGACTGCAAAATGCGTCTATGATGTATTTTCGATCTTTCCAATCCAGGCGAGATCTCTCTCCCCCGTCTGTGTGCGACGGGGCGGGGCAGTTTACACACACGCAGCTGCTACATGCAGCAACACACACACGGTGGAGATAGCGGAGAGAACTAAGCGCTCCGAAGTGTGGTTAAACTTTACCCGTCTCGATGTGGACAATGCTCGTTACCAAAAGTGCAATAAGAGTTTTCGACTGTCTTTCTAGCAGCTCTGTAGCCCCATCCACGAGTAACGTTTCCACGTCAGGTGTTCTGTATGCTAGCAGCAACACACAGAGTTAACTAAAATCAGGGGTTCCCAACCCCCGGTCCGCGGCCCGGTACCGGGCCGCGGAGGTGTTACTGCCGGGCCGCGAAATAGCTGAGAGTTTATCGTAATATTTGCAGAATTATAAATATATAAAAATATTTTATCATAAGATTTTTTTCAAAAAGTGTTTAATTTTCGCACCTATACCAGTCATATTATTTCATCCAGTAGCCTAGTTAATCTTTCACCAGATAACCGTTGAAAATGGCTTTTATGATGTTCCGAGGGATTCGGCAGCTCATGGTCTCAGCCACTTGTGCGGACGAGGAAGTTACCGGTGCGCCAAGTAGGAAGAGGAGCGTACAGGAGACAACCGTTTGATTGCAGACTGTTATGTTTATGTGGGGAAATGGCAGTGAATACATTATTTGAGATATATTTCAATCTCGGACTTCATTTTAAGGATATGTCGGCCAGGGGTGTAGAGCTATTTGTTTAAGCACCGGATTGGCAAAACAGGAGAGTAAACCAGCATGCCTTGATCTATGAATTCATGTCCGGGACTCTCACGGTATCAGCTGCCCGCAGCTGTTTTATAGAAGGAAAACCTCCTTCACTTCATGAAATGGCTGCAACATCAGGAGGCAGCGGGACGTGTAACTCCGCCTCTGAGAAGTGCAGCACCAGCGCGCCGAGAGCTGTGCCTTTTTACGCACCGCCTTCGCTGTGTTTACCTTCTTCAGAACAGCTTAAGAGTGACTGCAGGCTGCTACGTGTTAACCACACACACCTCTACACACATCTCTACACACATCGAACTGCCCGATTACTCCCCTTTTTATTAGTTTTATGAAGGAGATGTCCGGTCACCAAGGCGCATGATGTGTGTGTGTGTGTGTGTGTGTGTGTGTGTGTGTGCTCTGCTCTGCTCAGCTCTGTGTTTGTCCGACACCGGCATTTGTTTTCAAATGACCATGAACAGTAATTTACACACATCTGACTAACTCCATAGGTAGCCTATATGCGGGTGTTCCCAAAATAAATTAGTTTAATCTTAATCTCGATGTAGTGCTAAATGCCGTCGGACGTGCACCGGAACGAAAGTCACTATCATAATATCTTCTGAAAACAAATGCCAGTGTCACACACACACACACACACACACACACACCACACACACACACACACACACACACACACACACACACACACACACACACACACACACACACACACACACACACACACACACACACACACACACACACACACACACACACACACACCTCCTTCATAATGTGCCTTCTCCTCGTTTTCCCATCACAGGATTATCCGCAAATCATACAAACAAAACCAAAACGTTGATTTATCTGTTTTCCCGTTTTGGTTTTAAAAACTGAATAACGTAGTTTTTTTGGTTTTCCGTTTTTCCGAAAAACCAAAAAACGACACCGGTTATTTTTTAAATGTTGTTGATATGTTTTGGATGCATATTGTTCTAGTATTTGTTCAGGCTGTTACATACACTTAGCCTCTGTCTAACCCTGCTGGTGGTGAGTAAATATTAAAATCAGTTAAAATTGACAACCGGTCCGCGATTTTTTTTTTTATGTATCTGCCGGTCCTTGGCACAATAAAGGTTTGGAACCCCTGAACTAAATGATACAAACATGGGTTAATGATTAGAGGTAATTGAGTTATTTATTTTGTGAAAGTTTCAGCTATTCTGTTTACAGTTCTGTCATCACATTATTTAATGTGATTTGTTAAAATATTGTTGTTTCTTTTGATGTGAAATATTATTTATTTAATTTAAATAAAAAGCAATGTTAGTTTTGTTCACAATTGGTTTAGTTAGTTTACCTTGTTTTTTCTCTCCAAAAGAACCGATAAAAGTACCGTTAAAGGACCGGATCGATAAGCGGTATCGATAAAAGTAGTTGTACTGTTAAAACCTTAACGATACCCATCCCTACTAACACCCCCCCATACCATCACAGATGCTGGCTTCTGAACTTTGCGCTGATAACAATCTGGATGGTCCTTTTCCTCTTTACCCCGGAGGACACGACGTCCATGAAAAACAATTAGGAATGTGGACTCATCAGACCACAGCACACTTCTCCACTCTGTGTCAGTCCATCTCCGATGAGCTCAGCCCAGAGGACCCAGAGGAGTTTCTGGGTGTTGTTGATATATGGCTTTGGTAGAGTGTTAACCTGACGAACTGTGTTCACTGACAATGGTTTTCTGAAGTGTTCCTGAGCCCACGTGGTAATATCCTTTACAGAATTAGGTCAGGTTTTAATGCAGTGCTGCCTGAGGGGTCGAAGGTCACGGGCATTCAATGTTGCTTTCCGGCCTTAAGTGCAGGGATTTCTCCAAATTCTCTGAATCTTGAGGACATTATGGACTGTAGATGATGAAATCCCTGGCAATTGTATGTTGATTAAACGTTGGTCATAAACTGTTGGACTATTTGCTCACGCAGTTGTGTAGTCTCAACAGAGGCTCCACATTTTTTTTTCTCATACTGATATTCTGAACAATCTGTGCTATTGTATTAGCTGTAAAGTGTCTCTACTGTAGGCTATTTTTATTATATGTACAGCACTTTGGCTCGACCAACAATAGTTTATAAATGTGCTATATAAATAAAACTTGATTTGATTTGATTGAAATACAGGCCTCGACCCTCATTGTCTCTCTCTTTGTTCCAGGAGCCATCCAGACCCAGTTTGGTTCGTCACTCGCCTGCCACACACACACACACACACACACACACACACACACACACACACACACACACACACACACACACACACACACACACACGCACACGCTCACACTCACACTCACACACACGTCACTTCACAGGTCCTCCCTGTCCTCCCGACGTGTGCTTCTCCCCTCCGGATGTTTTTAGACCCCCTCTCTGCGGTGATGGCAAACCAGAAGTTCCACCCTATTTTATATTTTATATATATACATTATCTAAGGGGATTGTTTTTTAAATCAACTATCTAATTATTTATTGATCAATGTATTATTTATTTATATTGTAGTATTTATCTGTGTATTATTTATTCTTTATACATATTTCCTATCCTTATTTTATAAATCCTCCTCATCTGGACTCCTTTATGATTTTTAAATGCATGGGTTTCTTTGTTTATTATTATTATTACTACCATTTTATATGTTTCTTATATTTTATATATTATTATTTAAATTTGACATGTCACAGTTTATTTTATGTTTGCACTGTATTGCATGTTTTCCTATTTCATTAGGTTCCAAATGAGGAGATTATATATTTTATAATTTTTTTACATGTTATCAATCCCCCGTTTCCTATTTAAACATTGTTTATATTATTTTATTTATATTTTAGTTATTACTTTCCATTTTATGTTAAGTGGATATTTAAATCAGCCAGCCCACTTACCAGGTCTTTTATTTGTAAACATCATCCGAGGCGTGTCCCATGTCTCACCTGCACCACCTCTCTAGACCTCGGCCTGGGTTTTAAACGCTTTTAGGGACACTTGGTTGACTTTATTTTATTCTCGGACACTCCATCGGGGGTGACCCCCTCGGGGGGGCAGGAGTACAGGTTTTAACCCCGCCGCATAGGCTCTGTGCTGCATCCGCTGCTCTCTTTTATCCCTTTTATTGCACTTTCTTATACATTTTTCACACAGACCAAACAGGGCTTTTATAAACTTGTATTGGTTTTACTACAGGAGTTTTTTAAAAGGTTTTTAAACACAAAATATTGACCCGAGAGCCCGTGCACCACGCTTCCCCAAAACCCTAACCCCAACCAAGTCTTCACCCTAAAATTAAAGATTCCCCTCATGGGGACTTCCCTTATGTCCCCATAAGGGACGCGAGTCCCCACACTTGACTATGTGTAAACAGATGTAGGTCCCCACAATGATAGGAATGCTAGGTCACACACACACACACACCGAGCCCTTACCTTGATATTATGTTGTCACTTTATAACAGGTAAGTGGTTAGGGTTAGGTTTAGCATTCCCTGAGCCAGTTTGTGACAGTGTTTTCTGAGCATTCGTCAACTTTCCTAGTTTTTTGTTGACCCTGTCCCACCTTTTTTGGAACGTGTTGCAGGCGTCAAATTCAAAATGAGTGAACATTTGCAAAAAGCAGTTAATCAGTTTGAACATTACATATCTTGTCTTTGTAGTGTACTCATTTCATTTCATTTCAAACCTTTATGTATCCAGATTGGTCCCATTGAGATCATAGATCAATTGAATATAGGTCAGAAAGGATTTGCAAATCATTGTATTCTGTTTTTATTTACGTTTTTCACAACCTCCCAACCTCATTGGAATTACGGTTTGTACAATTCACACTTTTAATGCAGCAGCAAAATGGGTAAAACTTAAAATGAAGAAAAATCGAAGAATATAATATTTAAACACTCAATTGAATTAAACTGCAGTGGTAAGTCAAGGATGCATAATCCGTTCCCTTAGCATTAATGCGCTAACATTAAGAAGTATAGCAAAATGCAGTGAGCATTGAGTTGAGTGGGAAACACAGGACACTTCTCACCATCAATGATATTCTGTTGTTGGATATAAGCCATCAGCCTGCATGTTTGGTGAATTGAAGAGTCTGTTATTATTTGGTACAGCAAATGCTAAATGGTTAATGACTGTTTATTTATATAGCGCTTTATCCAGACTCATTTATATAGCGCTTTAACGACCCCTCAAAGTGCTTTATGATTATAAGCCATCATTCAAACCTCATTCATACAGGGCAGTTTGCCACATCTCGAGGAAGCTAACATTCACACACCATTTTTTTTTTATTGCTTTTTATTAATTCTACCGTGTTGTGTAATGTTTATTTATACTGTTCATGCTCACTACTTGTAGCACTTCGGGATTTGAAATCAAATATGAAGTGCTTTATAAATGGAACCCATTATTATTATTATTATTACCTTTGGCCGATCCATCAGCAGCAACTCGGGGTTAGTTATCTTGCCCAAGGACACATCGAAATGTTGACTGCAGGGGCTGGGACTGAACCCAAAACCTTCTGATTTAAAGAGGACCGCACTACCCCAATGCCACAGTCGCCCCATGATTACATTTCTAATTAGCCAGCTTGCTAACAATGGTGATTATCCTTTCAGGAGATCGAAGGCAACAGGAACAACACAAGCACAATGATCCAACAATGACTAGGACAGAGAGCTAACATTGGAAAGTGTAGCTTCACAGGAGAGGAGAAGGAGACTGGCAGAGCTGCTCTGGATGAGGGAGGAGGATCTCAGCCACACTCAGCTGACTGGACATGCTCTCTGGTGGCTGAATGCCGTGGCAGGACCACCAACAGACACTGGATCATGCAGGGTCAGTCGCATCTGAGCAGGGGGAACAGAACTCTGCCTCAGCCAAGCAGGGGGGAGTGTCGACAAATCGACGACTGGACAAGGGAAAAATAATTACCCGGAACGTAGTTGACAGAAGGCAATCAATCAATCATCAATCAATGTTTATTTATATAGCCCAATATCACAAATGTTACATTTGTATCAGTGGTCTTCACAGTTTGTACAGAATATCAGTATGACAATACGACATACAAGGGAACAGTTCTCATGGCTGGCTAGGATGTGTTGCCATGAAGCCTGAGAGTCTTGCAGGAGCAATCGAAGACCTACTAAGGCCAAGTGAGTTCACAGGAATGTTTCAGGGCCAGAGTCATCTCAGGACAGGAGTGATGCAGACTAGTTGGGGACGGACACAACTAAAAAGACCGGGACAGACAATAGAAACTGGCAGGAGAACAGAAAAACTGATTACCTGGAACTACCGTCAAGGCTCAATCAGAGGAGGTGTGTACGTGCACTGGGAGTAGGGACGGACTAACAATTATAATGGAGAGGAGGTGTGTTTATGAAAAAAGGCAACATGGGAACACCAACTGAAAAACATACAAAGCGCTAACAACAGACATGACACAGGGTGAGAATACTTTAAAAAATATAACAGGAAACAGACCAACCCATAAACTACAACCAAGCCACCAATTGAAGACTTCAAATTGGAGACACAGCAACTTCTTTTGAGGCGGAAGGAAAATGTACTATTTGCTTGGCATGTTGTTATATCTGTAATATTACAAACATATTATCATTTAGGATGATATTATTGGTAATGTTCTTCCCGCTGATGTCTGTCAGAAGTCAGTTCAGTACTGTAGTAATATTCTCATTGTGACATTTGGTGTTGTGACATTTATGGAAGACCGGGTCATCCTACATCAGTGACCCAGCACAGGCCTCGTTCTCTGGCTGCTCCCCAACAAAAGATTCACTCAAGCTGAATCAACTGAAATACATGTTTTACCATGCTTTCTGCATTATCATCATGTGATTTATCATCACACATTGATCTCTTTGTAGAACATATTAATGTTTGCCAAAAAAGCACATAGATACAGATCTGTAATATGAACCAATGAGGTGTTAAGTGTATTGGTTTAATTAATAGAATGTTTGTAGGGACCTTTACTTTTAATTATAACTTAGTTTCTAAAAGTAGAGAGTGAAAGTACTGACTTTCAGTTAAACCATTTTAAACTCAGCAGTGGGGGTTTGAGTTCTTAAAGATAGCTCATATAAATAAGGTTCAGCTTTTTTTACAGAGCTCGACCCATGAACTGGATCAGGGAAAACTGAATCAGTCCAACAGAGATTGATTTCAGTGAACACTTTGTGGTAATCCCATCAACACTTATAAACTATATCCTTAAATCTACTCTCTGCTCAGGATCAATGGCCCTCTGAATTAGGCCTATTTATTGGCTATTAAAGCTTAAGGTGTAACTGATGGTGTCCCATCACAAGGGTAGGATGCATCCAAACATCCTACTGCAGCCCCACAGCTTTCCTGATGCATAAAAAGCTCCATGCAGAGGAGCTTCTGCCTGCCAATGCAGCTCTGCAGATTTTGAACGGGCTCAGTTAATGTGTGATTGATCCAAAAGCTCAGGAGCTGATTTACAACTGATGTATTAAATGTTGGTACAGCAGGCTAGCAGGAGGATATTTACGCAAACTGCTTATATTTTCATATTTTCAGATAAGCTTATGTGACCTGTAGGAGAGACATGCCACCTGTTGGAATTTTCATGAATTTCTAGAGCAAATAAATGTACACTTGGTAATTGTCCTGTCTCCTCTTCAGTGTAACCTAAATATGGACGATGGTCGCTCTCTGGGCCTAATGATCAGAGGTGGAGCAGAGTATGGACTGGGGATCTACATCACTGGAGTGGACCCTGGATCTGCTGCAGATGCCTGTGCCCTAAAGGTACCCTAACTAAACCCTTCTTGATAGCATTGCTATATTCCAACGTTAAACCTGTCCCTCAAATGAGAATTCATGATCTTTGAGATGCTTGCAAAAAACGTATTTGTACGTTTTAAACACAATACAATGTTTTGAAGTGGCATGTGCTTCCTTGTATATATTCTCATAGAGGGAAATCTGTTTTTCAGTTGCTCTCAGTGTACTTACTCACAGCATACAGGAGGATATACAGCTACAACAAGAAAACCAACTTTAAAAGGTCTCCTATCATGCAAAATGCACTTTTTGATGTATTTTATACATAAATATGTGTACAGAAGATAAACCATGCAGTGTACAGGAGAGCTGTACAGGGATCTCAAATACCACCAAAACTGACCCGTCGTGCAGAAAACTGTATCTGTCGTTTGTCAGATGTTCCTCCCTGGTTAATCTAATTGAAAAGAAACAGCTGAAAACTAAATAAATAAACAAAAAGAGAAAAAGCACCAGAGAGCAAAACATTGGCTGCCATCTTAGTCTTCTCTAGGTCGTCCTCAGACGAGCCCTCCATCGTCGCTTCCAGTCATCCCGGTTCTCCATACATCTGGCCAGTTCATTGGTACTTTGTGCTCCTGCGTCGTTCTTGAGTACGTCCACGTTTGTGTGGGACGTCCTCGTGACCGATGCCCGTGTGTTGGTTCCCACAGCACCAATTTGCCGTGACAATATTTAATATCAGGCATTCAGGTATTAACAAGATTTGTGATCGGTATTTGTGTAATGAGGGAGGGAAGGAGATCAACACCCTATATCAAGGTGTGCAGAATTATTAGGCAGCTTTTTTTTTAAAGTCAAACATTTTAAAAGTCTTTCAGAGGGATGCAGCACTCTTGAAATTGCTAAGATATTGGGGCATGATCACAGAACCAACAAAGGTTTTGTTGCTAATAGTCAACAGGGTGGCAACAAATGTGTTGAGAAAATAAGACGCAAATGAACTGCCAAAGATCTGAGAAGAATCAAACGTGAAGCCACCAGGAAGCCATTATCCTCCAGTGCTGTCATATTCCAGAACTGTGACCTACCTGGAGGCCCAGAAGTTGCAGGTGTTCAGAGACATGGAAGGCTGAAACCACCACTGAACAAGACACATGAGTTAAAATGTCAAGACTGGGCCAAGAAAGGTTTTCTGGACTGATGAGATGAGGGTGACTCTTGACCAGCGACGTGCAGTCAGGGGAGGCAGGGGAGGCAGGGGAGGCAGGGGAGGCAGGGGAGGCAGGGGAGGCAGAGCCTCACCTGTCATACTCCAATGTAACGGAAAAACTACTAAAGAAAAACTAAATAGTAATAATAATAAAATGTCTCCACTGATCTGTGTTGTAAATGTGATTTATGTTTGATTCCAATCGCTTTTTATAGTCAAAATCAGCAAATTTGCCGAGCTCCGCTACAACTACGGGTAGCGATGAGGAGTGAGGCAGGGACGAGCTCTGCCTCACGTAACGTACAGTTAACTGGCTGGACTGCGGGCACTAATGTAGCGCGGGCACTTATTTTGTGAGCGCGCTCAAGCCAGTTTCTGTGTGGTGAGGTGAGGCACAGGTGAGCTCTGCCTCACCTCAGAATGCGTCACCCCACAGAAACTGGCTGGAAAGCGGGCCCTAAGCGCATGCCTGCACCATCTCACTGTATGTCACCAATGTAATGTTTGTAGATCCCTCTATTACATTTATCCTCGCCATCCATAGTCTCTAAATAACTTATTTCACGTATATATGATATTTAGGCTCGCTGGTCTCATCATACAACGGCAATGAAAAAAGCACCAGGGGAGGCAGCCATAACCTCTGCCGCACTGAAGGGGGCGCAAGTGAGCCCACAGGTTCTTGTTGCTACTGTTATTCTACGCAGGCAGTGTTGCCAACTTGGCGATTTTCTCGTTACATTTGGCGGCTTTCCAAACCCTCCGGCTACTTATTTGTGTCAAAAGCGACTAACGACTAATCTAATGATTTATAATGGTGTTATTAGCGACTTTTCTGGTGTTTGGAGACTCACGTATTGTTCTGCAGTTAACGTGCTGCCGTGAGCCCCGCCTCCCTCCCATAGTACTCACAGGCGCTCAGACTGACAGTTGCCTGGCCGCAGTAGAGCCGCAGCTGCAGTCAGAGCAGAGAGGAGACAACCACACTCCCCCGCGTCGAGACTGCAAATGAATTGCGCATGCGCCAACTGCCAAGCCGTCCTGGTTTTAAGCGGGATTTAAATGTTGAATGTAAATGTTTCTTCACTCACTTTCACACTATAATAAATAACTGCCTTTGCTTTGCTTTGCCTTACACAGCCTCAGTCACTCAATCACCTCGTCCACTGTGTGTGTGCCTCTCTGTGACAAGCTAAACATCATGGCACAGTCTAAATTGTATTCTCAAAAATACAGAAAGGAGTGGGAATCAAACCCTGAGTATAAAGGATGGTTGAAGCCATTTATTGGAGATGACACACGGGCATACTGCCTTTATTGTAAGGGGGATTTCTATGCCAAACTGTCATGTTAAAACCCCAAAACATACTCAAAAGGCAAAGACATTTCTGATCTACTGTCGTCTGGATTTAACTCCGGTGGTTTCAAGTTTTGATCCTTGAAGGGTTGGCAACGTTTTTTGTACTCCCCTATGCAAATTAGGCGATGACGTCATTTAGCGACTTCTGGCGACTTCCAGGACAGCTAATAGCTACTTTCCTTACTATGGAGTTGGCAACACTGTACGCAGGGACGGTAGCGGTAGACGCGAACAACAAACTAGACTTTTGAAACTAGAGGAAGATAAGGAGGACTTTTACAAAAAAGTAATAGAGATTGTTGTCCAGAAGGATAGCATGGACTTCATCTTCAAGTCAAGGTAAGACCACATTTGTAATGCAAATGGACTTACTAAGAAAGAACAATCCAATATTTAAATTGTGGGTAGGCCTATCCTTTTGTTGAACGGTCTGTTTAAAATGAATTGAAGCATCAGACTAAAAAAGCTTTTGAAAATAACCGACTATTTCGATTAAGGTCAAAATATAATATTTGTAAATCTGACTCTAAAAGAGTCAGTGCCTCACCAGCCATGAACCTCACTGCACGTCACTGCTCTTGACGGACCAGATGGATGGGCCCGTGGCTGGATCAGTAACGGCCCGTCCACACAGCGGCTTTTGAAAAAGCTTGCCGGCGGGCGTGTCTGAAGCTCGACCAACATGAATCTCCCGCCCCTGACACACAAGCAGCGGTTTGATTGGCTAGAGCTTGTACTGGCATATGATTTGATTGGTTGACGCTTCCACCGAAAGCTTCAGAAGCTTCAAAAGTTGAACATTGCTCAACTTTTGCAGCCTGAAACGCCAGGAAAGCTCCGCTCTGCTTCCCACAATGCAGTTCGGCGAAAAGTGACATCACCCCATTCAAAGTGAATGGGCAGAAGCGTCGGAAGAAGCTTCCAACGCCACTGTGTGGACGGGCCGTAACAAGCACAGAGCTCCACTTCCACTCAGTGACAGCAAGGTGGAGGTGGGTTCTGGTATGAGCTGGTATTATTAAGGAGGAGCTAGTTGGACCTTTTCAGGTTGAAGATGGACTCAATATCAACTCCCAAACCTACTCCCAGTTTTTAGAAGACACTTTCTTCCATCAGTGGAACAGGAAAAAGTCTGCATCTTTCAGGAAGACCATGATTTTATGGAGGACCTAAACCCTTCCTCATCTGACCTAAACCCTTCCTCATCTGACCTAAACCCTTCCTCACCTGACCTAAACCCTTCCTCATCTGACCTAAACTGACCTAAACCCTTCCTCATCTGACCCTAACCCTTCCTCATCTGACCCTAACCCTTCCTCATCTGACCTAAACCCTTCCTCATCTGACCTAAACCCTTCCTCACCTGACCTAAACCCTTCCTCATCTGACCTAAACCCTTCCTCATCTGACCTAAACCCTTCCTCATCTGACCTAAACCCTTCCTCATCTGACCCTAACCCTTCCTCATCTGACCTAAACCCTTCCTCATCTGACCTAAACCCTTCCTCATCTGACCTAAACCCTTCCTCATCTGACCTAAACCCTTCCTCATCTGACCTAAACCCTTCCTCACCTGACCTAAACCCTTCCTCATCTGACCTAAACCCTTCCTCATCTGACCTAAACCCTTCCTCATCTGACCTAAACCCTTCCTCATCTGACCCTAACCCTTCCTCATCTGACCTAAACCCTTCCTCATCTGACCTAAACCCTTCCTCATCTGACCTAAACCCTTCCTCATCTGACCTAAACCCTTCCTCACCAGACCTTAACCCTATAGAGAACTAGTGGGCTCTTCTTAAAGGGAGATTTCCGGTGAAGGAAGTCAGTACAGCTCTCTGAACAGAGTCTGGGAGGCTGTGGTTGATCGTCAACAGATCAAGAAACTGACAGACTCCATCAATTGCTTGGTATTTTTTCTCCTTCCGTCCTTTTTAAACTGTGTGTGAGCGGAGGTGCTCATAGTGTTTTTTTGTGGGAAGATGTTTGTTTTCCTTTAGTTGCATAATAATTGTGCACACATATATTTTCTCCTAAGAAGGCCAGAACATCACTTTTACTTTCTTAAATATTCAGGTTTGAGGTTCATTAACATTTTGGATTGACCGAGAACACAGTAGTTGTTCAATAATTAAAATAATCCTCAAAAAATGCAACTTGCCTAATAATTGTGCACACAGTGTATTACTGCTGTGTTGTAATGTAGTTGTTGGTACAGACTCATTTGGAAACCATGCACTACACCGCTACATGACACACAATTTGATCAAACTAAAATAAGACTTGATTGCCATGTGAGATAGATGACTCAAGAAATAGTATATTACATGTATTACATGTCACTTGTTAGACATTTTTATCCAAAGCGACTTACATACTCAGTAGTGTGGGCAATCCCCACAGGAACACTTTGGAGTGAAGTGTCTCAGGGACACAACGACATGCTGACTG